TGGATATCGTATTATTTTCTGAAATGGAACATACACCTCTTACAAAACTTTGTTCATCCTGTCAAATTACGAAACCAGTTAATGAATTTCAAATTAATAATAAATCATGTTTTGAATGCATAAACTGTGTAAATGAAAGCCAAAAACGGAAACGTGAGGATCGAATTTTAAACGATATTTACAAGCAAAAAGAAAATTCGAAGAGCTTGAATATATAGTTTATGAAAAACTTATGGATTTTGAAGGAGGAAACAATATGCTTATGGATCTTGAGATAGTTGTGATATTTCCCAAACAGCTAACGAATATGGGTTAAAAAATTTTTCTAAATCTAATATTATATTAATTCAGGTACAACGAAACTCTCAATATCTTTTGGTTACAGAAGCTAAAGAAACTTTATGGAAAAATATTCGAACATCAACCTTAATTGATTACACACAAGTCAACTTAACGATTGATCTGGTAAATTTAGAAAACCAGAATATAGATAATGAGGAATCGAGTACTAACGGTAGTGAATTCAAATCTGAAATTTTAGGAAAGTACAAAAAAACTCTTCATGAAGTATAAAAGGATTTTTTTTTTTATCATTATATTTCTGTTTAAATAAATGTATTTATTAATTTATGTTTTAGGTGCTTGATTGTCTTGAAAAGTCCAATAATCTTCCCCCAAAAAAATGGCTTCGAAGTATTGACTCGAACCTTAAACCTATTCAGAAAATGGTATATGACATTAAAGATTTTGAATGAGCAAAAAAGCTTACAAAAAGGTAGTATTAAATTCAAATTTAAAGCTTTATACGTGTAATAAACAAAATTTAAAGCTTTATACATGTATTAAATAAAATTTGAAAATTTGAATCTGGATGTAAATACATTTTGTAATTCGAATCAAATGTATTTTGACTTAGAATTTGGATAATTAAATTAAATAAATTCTAATAAGTTGAATAAAATATAAAACTTCAATTATTTCTTCAAAAAATCTCGTGATCTCGTGATTCTGTTATTCTTGTGCGCAGATTGAAATTTAAAAAGCTGATCGTGGTGGTGTGCAGAGCACAAAATTTCCGGGTGATGTAACCTGCTTTTTTTTGCTTTTTTTCTGGCAATATTCTTTTTAATCGGAGGTTTAGATATAATAGCCAATGAAATTTGTCTAAGTAACGTAAATTTTCCGGCCGATGAAAAGTCGAGCCAGAAATTGTCTTACGTAGACGGAAATCTCTGAAATTTTACAATAGATTACCAAAAATTTAATCGCAGAAACTACAAAATGGTATAACAAAATTGTAGTTTATCACATTAAATCACAGAATTTGTCTTTAACTACACTGACCCAGGTGGTACCCACTCGGGTCCAGATCATGTATTCTCTAATTTGCATGTGCTCATCCCTTTTTATCATGTTCCTGGGAAAATTCCCTCGTTTATCCCTTTTTTTTTTTCTGATGGGAAAAATTCTTTTTTTTTTTTTGCAAAATTTTTTTTTGCAAAAAATCATGACAAAACATGCCAATAAAAAAGGCATATAAGGGTTACATTTTTTCTATCTACTTTTTATGCATTTTTATTTTTACACTTTTACATATTACATATTTTTATTTTAATAATAATAATATACCCGGCAATATTCTTTAATTGAATATTCAAAGATTCCGCATTAAAACTATTGTATTACAAAATTTACAATAAAGTTTTATTTATAATATGATAAGAAACTCTTACACAATTACGATTTTAAATTTTCAGTTATCCTTTTAATAAATTTTTTTACATATTTTTATTTATACACTTTATCAGTCTTTTGTCATATCTCTTTGCTATATCCTTGACGTATTTTGACGTATCTTCGCGCCGTATTATCGCCTCGTCATCAAGGTAGCAATCTTCAAAAACTTTTGGTTTGCATGCCGAATATGCAAAGGAGTTCCGTCTACTCGATACACTGCCGGTTTAACAAATAAGTGGAGCAGCGGCGATCTCACGTTAATGTATTAACATAAACTGAGGAGGCTCAGTTATATCGACGATAGTGCCATCGGTATACAGGATGGGAAATAATAATTTATATTCTTCGGAACATAACCGGGACCAAGACAACAATCAGGAAAACCAGTACCATGACAACCGGATAACAACTGCAACCAGGATATTTTATTCTTTGTGCTATCGCTCGTGTGTTAATATATTGTATCCAACAACATATATCGGTCTTTTCAATTACTTATTTACCAGGTTAAAGGTTTATTGACTGAAGAACTTGAAGTTTATCGACTAAAGAAATCTAATTGTTTTGAAGTTTATAGATATTAATTATATAGATATTAAATTTTGATGTATTTTATTAATTTTATAGAATAAAATTATTATTATTATTTAAATATTATTTGTAACTACGATATAATTGTAACTATTGATTATTTAGTGGTAATAAATAAAAATTGTAATTCTAATTAATAATAAAGTTGTTTGCGATTTTTTTTAAAATAAATTTTTATATTGACCTATTAAATGAATAAAAAAATATAGCTAGTAGTTGTGTATAGTTTATTATTTCATTAAATATAAAAGTAATATCGGATGAACTAGTATCAACATTTCAACGTTGTTGACACTCTACTATTTGGCCATTCCAGTCACTAATTATTTTCTATGCAGGACGTTTATAATAAAAACCCACACATAAGCGTGGGTCTTCATTATAAATGTCATTTTTTTTATTCCATAATTAGTGACCGGAATCACCAAAAAAAAAATTTTTTTTCAAAGAGAAGAGAGAAGAGGGACGAAGTGTGAGAGAAAGGGAAAGTGGGAGTGGGAGTGGGGGAGTGGGAGTGAGCGAGGGTGGGGAGTGATAGAAAAAAGCAAAAAGAGAGAAAAGAGAATGTGATAAAAGAGAGTGAAAGAGAAGAGCAAATATAAGAAATTTAAACTCAGACCATGTTCGCTAAAGTCACATGACTTTGACTTTTGCATTTCTGCGAAATTGGAGGAGTTTCAAACTCCGCTGAAACAAAGTTTGAAACTTCGACCAAGCGACGAAGTCACGTGACTTACGGGAATTCAGATTTTTATGAAATTGACAAATTTCAAACTCCGCCTAATCAGAGTTTGAAATTTTGTTAAGTGGTAAAAAATTAAAAAAATTATTTAGGTTTTTTTGAACCCAATTCGGGTTCGATTGACCCCAATTCAGGTTTATTTGAACCCAATTCGGGTTTATTTGAACTCAATACGGGTACGTTGAATTCCAAATCGGAGTTGTTTGAACCCAAATTGGGTTCGTTTGAACCCAAATCAAACACAGGCTAATGTAATTTAGGCCTGAGAATTAAAAAAAAATTAAAAGCTCGAACCCGGGCAATGACCGGGTCCAAAGAGCTATCCACTCTCTACTATTTCGCAGTTCCATATCACTAATTTATTTTGCTGACGTTTTTTGTCTTTTTTGCCTGCGAAGCAGGCAAAAAACGTCAGTAAATTAAATTAGTAACACGAAATGGCCAAATAGTTAGGGCAAAAATAAAAAAAAAAATTTTTAAAAAAAAGAAAGAAAGGGAACAAAGAAGAAAGGTGAGAGGGAGTAGGAGAGTGGGTGGGGGATTGGAAGTGGGAAAGTGGGGTGGGACAGAGAGAGGGAAAAAAGAGGAGTGGGGAAGGTGAGAGTGGGAAAAAGAAAAACATAAGAGCGAAGTAAAAGAGAGCGAAGCAACAAAGAAGCAAAGGAGAGAAAATTGAAACTCCGACGAAGTCACGTGACTTCGGATTTTGCATTTCTGTGAAATTGAAGAAGTTTCAAACTTCGCCGAAAAGGAGTTTGAAACTCTGATCGAACGACTAAGTCACGTGATATACGGGAATTCGAATTCCCACGAAAATGCTTGGTGACCCGAAATCGGGGTCACGTGACCACGTACATAATACGTACGTTTCGAAAAAAATTAATAATTAAAAATAAATAGATAAAAATAGACAAAATCGGTGTAACATTATGAATCAACGTAACGTAACGTATCGGCGTAACGTACTGAAATTTGCGTAACGTATTGAAATTTGTGTAACCTACGGATACATTTTGTATCAAACCTTCGGAAAAAATGTTTTTTAATCTTTTTTTATTAAAAAAAATTAAAAAACACAATTTTCGTTAAATTTTTTATACTAATTTTTTATTAAATTAATTAAATTATTAAATTATTATGTTATAGGTATTAAAAACATAATAAATAAACTAAATAATAGTAAGTTTAATAGAAATTTTAATAAAATGTTATAAATTAATATTAAATTTACAAATTTATTAAAACAAAAAAGAAGGTAAAAAATTTACAATTAAAGCAGAAATTTTAAAAATTTATATTATTTATTTAATAAATGTTTTGTTTAATTTATAAATTATACAAATAATTAATAATTTTATTATAATTTTTTTTTTTTTATTGAGATAGAAAATGCCAAAAGAAAAGAAAGAAAAGAAAGAGAAAAAAGAAAAAAAACCTATTCCTGATTATATTTTAAGAGAATATGCAGCACCTAAAAATGAATCTAGAGAAGATAGAGCTAATAGATTAAAAAGAAGAAGACAAGCTAAATATATGCATTACCAAAAAGAAGAAGATATTGCAGGACCTTCAAGAAGAACAAGATCTCAAACTTCTAAAGCATCATCAGAAACAAGATCAAAAACAAAAGAAGGTCAAAGAGATAGACAACGAGCACA